TAATGCACAATATATAAAGTACTAAGCAAGGCTTCCTATGCGAGTGAATAATTAACATGCAATGGTCTATGTAGTCTAAAAGTCTTGACGGAATCTCGGGCTCCGTCTAATCCTTTCCCCGAAAGTGTACAATACCCATGGCACTGGCGCAGCAGCGAGTGTCAGCAGTCCTAGCAGGGTGTTTCCCCATCCAAGGCCCAATTTGTTGTACAACTGCAAGCCTCCGAGAGGTAGTAGAGCGCCCAGCAGACTCCTCAAAACGGCGTTTGCGGCAGTGACAGAAGCAGCGTAGAGCGTGAATGCGTCGACCAAGTAAGTGTTGATCGTCATAAGAATACCAATCGAGCCGAAACCCATGATACCGGTACCAATCATCGGCAGGATCCAGTGAAGCTGCTTGTCCGCCGTCCAGCCGTACATCATGAGACCGATAGGGATCGTGAGTGAAGAGGGCACCGTGAGGATGAGATGCAGGCGGTCCTCGGGCTTGGGGTCCTTGCCCTCGGCTTGCCGTCTCTGGATAATCTTATCCGACAAGGTTCCGACGTAGGCGAGTCCGAGAATGTTTCCGACACCACCTCCGATGAAAGAGAGGCCGGCTCCGACGGAGCCAAAACCATAGGTGTCGCGGTAAACAAAGGTGAAGGTGGTGAAGAGGATGTACAGGAAGCCGTAGAGCATCGCGACGTAAAGGCACAAGATCATAACGACTGCCGAGCGGAAGAACATGCGGCCAGGACGGATGATGGCAGTGAGAAAGATCTGGCGTGGAGTTCCCTTCTTCTTCATCCTTGATTGGTACTTCTCATTGCCGGTCTCCTTGCGCAAGCGGGCGGCTTTTCTCTCCAAGAGTACGGGTGCGTAAGACTCGCGAAGGACAAAGAAGGAGGCCAAAGTCACCGCACCGGACTAAGGTGGAAGGTTAGTTGGCGCACTCGTGGCGTTGAAGTAGTCAAGAAGAGGCACTCACGGTGATGGTAATAATCCAGAAGACCCATCTCCATCCCTTGGCCTCTACAAGGAAGCCAGCACAGACAGGTCCTACGACGGGGCCGAGAAGAGGTCCAAGACTCCAGATACTGATGTAGAAGCCTCTCTTTTCAACGGGCATCATATCCGCAATCGATCCAGCGCCACAAGTAATCACGGCGACACCAGAAAAGCCAGCCAGGAAGCGAAAGGCGATGAGCATGTCGATGTTGGTCGCAAGTCCACAAGCAGCGGAGAAAACGACGAAAAGGGCGTTGCAGACGTGGTATATGTAGACGCGGCCGTACAACTCGCTGAGCGGCGAGATAATGAGAGGACCCAGGGCAAAGCCGAGGACAAAGACGGAGACAACGAATGTCGCGATCGAATCGTCGGATTCGCCAAATTCAGCCATGACTTGCGGGATGCCAGGCGCAAACATCGACGACGCCAGGGGTCTAAAGTAGGATTAGTAATCATACAAAGGAGAAGGATCATTCTTCGGAAAGCTCTTCGTACGTGAGGAAGGTGATGAAGGAAAGTGTCGCGATGATGCCCAGTTTGCGACTTTTTGACCAATTCATGGGATTCTCTGGATCTTGGTCGTCCGCCCACCATACAGAGAACTCGTTTTCAGGCTCGGCAGCATCATCGACGACTGTGTTGACGCTATTCGCATTTGGCTCAGCGATTGTAGCTTCTTCGTCGTCTCCACGTAGGTTCGGTGAAGCAGCGCTTGAACTTGTCTCGGTGATGGGAAGTTTCTCTGCCTCTGGAGGCGGCGACTCGGTGACTGGTGACTTCATGCTGATGTTTGATCTCTCTTGCTCTGGTGTGTTGGGGGGCAAGAGATGGGAGTTGGTGAGTGTTGTTGGCAACAAAACAGAGTCGGACTCTTCCAGCACAGTTGAGAAGAGGCGGTCGTGTAGTTGTATATAAACACTAAAGGACCTAGTAGTTCAGTAAGAGAAAAGGTGGAATACGTCGGGTTCGGGTTGGTAGATCCATCCGTTGTCTCGTTAGGCGTTTCCGAAATTCATGAAAGCGAGTAAAACGAATCACATATGCCCCGTCAGCTTTCGTGTGCTGTGTTTTTGACAAGTGAGGACGTGGAAAAGGAAAAACTTGGCTGCATGCCATTATCAAAGACGGACTGGAAGTCGCACAAGTTAGAATGATCTTCCTCGGTGGGCCAGGCAGTGCAGGTGGCCAGTGAGCCTTGAAAGCGAGACCGAAGGCCGGGGTCTGGTGGCAGGCCCACAAGCTACCAGAGGCCTCGTTTCGAGGAACAACTTGAGTCTAGATTGGCGTCCAGTGACGGCTCTGCTGATCAACGGGTGAGCTAAAAACGCGCCAAAATTCTCGGGAAAGGTATTCTGCACGTTTGTGCTTGCGGTACTCGACAACAATGGCTATGGAGGGTTGTTAGTCAAGAGTGAGAACTAACACACTAGAGGTGAAGGTTGTGCTTTGCATCATCGATGATCTTGAACATTCGCAAAGTGATACATATGGAGAAATTCAGAAGCTGAAACTCAGCGCAGAGCAGAATTCCCAGCCGCGTGGATGAGTAAGAGCCAAGTTCGTCTCAAAGAAGCCCTGTCAATCGGCCGTCAGTTCTTCTCACTGACCTCTGCCATCCTTACGAAGTTACGATGGCGAATGAGGGGATGAAAGTGAGCATAGTCCTTTTCGGCAAGTTGAGACCGATGATTGGGGGAGATCCTTGGAGCTGTCGTGTCTCTGTGCTCGGTTTCGGTAACGGGCATGGAGGGGGGAAATAGGAAAAGAAAAGCGTGAAATGTGATAGGGGCTAGCTAGGCTGTGCACCCACACCAATTCTCCGAGGGCGCCTAGCTGGACCACATCTCGTTGTTCGAGCTTAGAAAAAGCTTAAAGGTCGTCTAGAACCCCATACCGAGCGGTACGGGAGATCCTTGACATTGCCGTATTTTCCGCATTCTCCTTAATCGTATTTCGGACTTAGTACGTGACATTCCGCGCTAAGAGTCGATTTTACACCACGCAACCATTCAGGTGCCAAGGGCTGACAGACTAGGATCTGAGAGAAAGTGAACTGGTCTTTGAGTCCATTTCTAATCTGTTAGTATTCTACTCTCGTTGTTGCAAACTCGCTGACCATCGGATGCTCTTCAGAGTCTTCACATTGAACCAGCAGGCTCGCAGGATATTTCCAACTCGATTCCGCAGCCGATCTTGCCTACAGGTAGGAAGTTTAGGAACATGTCCTCTACAATAAGCTCTGTAGTGAGAAACCTGCCTATTGACCAACACTTCCTACTGTTTATCGCCATCATTTGACTTCATATCGAGGTGGGAACGTGTTGCACCATTCGATGGTAATTCTAGCCCTGAGGAGAGCAACGCAGACCGGCTCCACCAAAATTACTCCAATCCGGGCCTTTGTATGATACAGCCGCTAGAAGAGAGGTATCCTCGTACAACACCCAGAGCTCTCCAGTCTGCATCAGTAAGGAGATCTGGAGTTCAGTGACAGGTCCATTTCAGCAGCCGGTCTTAAGCTCAAACAACCAGTCCGAAACCCCGAATCTGGAAGCGTGAAATATACTTCCAAACACAAAAAAGCGAAGACGAGCTTCTCATTTCCCCCACTTGACGTCAGAGTGTTGAACGGGACGGCGAGCACGCAGAGTCTTAGGATATCGTGTCAAAACGCAAACTCATTAGCAACGAAGATCTAATAGTTCGCTTCCGAGTATTCGGAAAATCTGCCATGCCCAGTCAACATTTGATCATTAGTAAGACTTTTGGTACTCTTGTGAATAATGCAGCTTGGCTGTTCGAGAGTGAAACAGTGGCCTTGCTCAGATGACCCTAGGTCGCTGATTGAGACCCAAAATTCCATTAGGATTGGTCTGATACTCAATGAAAGCGAGCTCGCTCGCACTTCTGTCATTGAAAACTTGGCGCTCGCCTTGTCTGAGTTGCGTTTGCGCGATCTACGTCAGCAATCTAATGTGCATCGTTTATCCTTGCTTTCCACTCACTTATCACGGAAATTCTCATGGCGCGAACTCACAAACTCAGATAGAAGATCAGAAAACATCCCTTTGGTGTCAGTATAGTAGCCACAAAATCCAAAGGTTTGATTACATTCTATCCGAAAGTCCTTTGCACAGTTTACTTATCAAGCTTCATTTATCTTCAAGCTTTGTGCAGGGCTTAACTCAACTTGGCTCGGACTGAGTTGCATAAGTTCGATCAGATTTCAGTGCAGATAATGATCTTTTGACATTGGGGCCAGTGAATATCGGTCTGAAGATATCAGCAAGGCTTCAGTGTATTCCAATCCTTCTTAACTCCTCGGTCTGAAAGCGCTTCGGCAACTTGATTGATGGAGGTATGGTTCTAGAATCAAATGCCATTTCACTGTCTAGACAGAGCAGTAGGCTCTAACATCCTTCATTAAATCATTTTGCCCCAGAGACCACAAATCAATTCACCGGCAGTGTTATATTCTACATTTTACCGCCTGCCCGCCACATGGTAATCGGAGATACTCCGTCTGGAAGGGTAGGAACTCGACCCCCCGCATTTCCCCCCCCCCGGGTGTTTTGGGCGGAGCTTCTCCGCGTATCCACCTATATCCCGAATAATCCCCCGACCATGCCGGCAAATGACTTCATCGTAGCTTCTCTTACTATTTAGCTGTGAATATATGAAGTCTTTCAGGTATGACTACCCCGCTTTGACGATCTGGAAAAGTAGTTCCCGAAGACGTAATCAGCACCGCGGTTGCCATTAACGTGTTGCCATTTGACCTCGCTACTGACAAGAACGCGGAGTAGTCCATCCGCAAATCTGCTGTGTAAGTGCGAGTGCGGAGTAGTCCACTAGTAGAACGCTCTAAGTGTGAAGATTTTGTTGGTGTCATCAAAGAACGCGGAGTAGTCCGGTCTCGGTACTAGCCCGACTTCACGAGGACAGCACCCGTTGTCACTTTGGTAAAGAACAATTATGAAACGGATGTAAACAATATAACTTCAGTAATGGCTGCCCCTAAACTTTACTCAGGCGAGTCAGAGAGGCCAAGAGCTTTCAAGATGAGAGCTTTGGTTTTATGGAGTCTGGCAGCTTTGCCGTTCGCCATCGTTGCGTATTTTACTGATCTCCCGGACGCTTTCAATGATACAATCGCAACATGGGCGTACATGTCATATGGCGACTCGTCTGTGGCTGTTCTATCTGGGTCGTTCAATCGTTCCGCCATGGATGCTGTCTACAAGGGACGCGCCACCGATTCAGAATTACAGAAGAGGTATACCTCCGCAGACTTGTATCTTCCATGACGAGCCTCAGCTAAGAAACAGGAATGCCTTCCTCAATACCACGAATTTCATAGCCTATGATGAAAGGTTCATGGATCTACTTGGGCCAAAGGCTACAGTTAAGCGAATTCAAAAGTTAGCATCCCAAAGTCACGAGGCACCATGCTTCAACAAGGAAACCAAGGAGCTCTTCTTCGTAGAGTGGGGACCCCCTGGAGGTGACAACGGTACCCACAGCTGGCAGTATCTACTGGATACCAAGAACAATACCCTCAGAAAGATCACAACAAACCCGCCAACCCTCAACGCCCACGGCTGCGTTTACTACAATGGAGCGTATCACGTCGTAACGGACGGTAGCCATAACGAGACCGGGGCACTCATTCGTATTGAACCAATAACCCTAGAGACAACTGTGTTGTTGAACAACTACTACGAGCAGCCTTTCGCAGGTCTCAATGATCTTGAGATTGACTCTGATGGAAACTTTTGGTTCACAGATTCAAAATCTGGCTGGGTAAGCCGTCACTTAACGTGAAGGGCATATGGTTCAATATTTAATCCCGCATGTATGACTAACAATACCTCTCTCAGGGCCGGGACTTGACGGACTTCACTCCCCCAACAAACCCAACCGTCTACATGGTGAACAGTACAACCATGCGACCGAGAGTTGTGCACATTACAACAGGAAACGCCAACGGAATTGCTGTCTCGCCGCGCCACGACGGCCGTCATGTGTTGTATCTTCCCGACACCGGTGTCTCCGAAGCCAAGCCGGTGGATAGGAAGAATCCGTACGGCAACCGTGCCCTCTTTGCATACGATGTCGCAGCCGGGGGCGTTCTCACGAATGCACGCTTCTTGAACAACCCGATTTCGTATTTCTATGACGGTATTCGGGTTTCGAGAAATGGTTGGATCTTTGTCGGGGCTGGCGACGGGGTGGATGTCATTGATCCCGTGTCTGGACTCGCACTTGGCACTATACGTGTGGGTGGAGGAAGCAATCTGGCTGTGAACATGGCATTTGGCGTGCATGAGCTATGGATCGTAGGTAGAGGCGGGGTTTGGCATGTGAGCGATATTGCAGAGAAATTGGATCGGGACTGGTAGCTACATGCGAAGCTTTGGTGTATCGGGATGTATGGATCACTTGAAACTTGGTGGCCGAAGACTTGAAGATGGAGACATTCTAAGCAGGATGCTTAAACGCTTTGTTAATCATCAACTACTAGGTATTTTGATACGCTCTAAACACTATCCCTATAGCTTTTTGTCTTAATAGACGTACACAAATTCATCATTCTGGCGATCAGTTAGATCCATGAATGCGTTATCTCCCAACTGAGCACCAGCCTCATCATTCTGTGCGCTAACGTAGTGGTGCTCCATGCTAAGATCCTTGATCTTTCTCGGCTTGCCGTTCGCCACTCTCTTGCGCTCCTGCATCTTGTTGGAGACGAAGAGGTTGATGACCTGCAGTCCGATGACGGCGAGCAAGGCACAGGTGATACCCATGACTTTGGTGAGACCAGGCTTGTACTCGGGCGCATCCTTGGAGTTGAAGAGAAGGGGGCCGATGATGTTGCCGGCGGAAGATCCAGCATTGTACAGGGACATGATGACGGACTTCTTGGTGGTACCCGCAATGTTGGAGATCATCCAAGAGACGATGAGGGGGTTGCCGCCGAAGAGGAAGGCAAGCATGTAGTACGCGGCGAGGAGAGGGGGAATGCTGTTCCTAGGAAGAACATAGAGCATGACCGCGCCAGTAAGGACAGGGGCGAGGACGGCCGCGAGGAAGGCTGACTTAATGCGGAATCGGTGGGCGAGGTAGGAAGCCGGGAAGATGACAATAAGCTGCACGAAACCAAAGGGGATGTTGAGCAGGGAGCTCTTCATGCTGTCGAAGCCGAAGCCAGAAATGACAATGGGGCCGAAAGTGTTTGTCACAGCTGCGGTGACATTGAGGCACACGGCCATACCAACGAACAGCCAGCTCTTGGGCTCGTAGAGGGCCTCCCAGACTTGGCTCCACTTGAACTCGTTCCCTCCCGTGCCGGTCTGATTGGCGCGAAGACGCTCGATGGCCTGCAGCTTCTCGTGCTCGGTAAGGAATCGGGCAGAGGGAATATCGCTATCGAGGAAGTACCAGACGACGGGGGCGGTGAGGACGGTGATGAGACCGACAAAGATGAAGAGAATCTGCCACGAGTGGATGGACCCGTTGATTTGACCCAAGCCGTACGAGACAGAGGCGGCAAACATGGTTGCAAGACCGTTGGTGCCGTACCAGCATGCCACACGCATGGGCTGCTCAGCGCGACGGTACCACTGCGAAGTGATGACAGAGAAAAGAGGAAGGCAGCCGGCCTCGAACAAGCCCAGCAGGAAGCGGGTCGCCAAGAGACCTGCGTAGTTGTGGCATGCAGCCATGCACACCTGCGCGATACCCCAACCCAAGACCAAGGAGGGCATCAGGATGCGGTGTGGCACCTTGACAATAAGCCAAGAGGAGAAAGGCTGCCATGCGAGCTGAGCGATGGCAGCGATGGAGCTGACCATGGAGTATTCATTTCCGGTCAAGTTGCAGTCGGTTCTGAGGCCATGGATGGCGCCGTATCCGAGGACGGACTTGTCGAGGATCTGGAGGAAGTAGACCCAGATGAGGATCGAGAGGATTCGCTTATCGGTCTTTCGGCGGATGCGTTTGTTCTATAGTAGTTGAGTCAGCTCCTCTTCAATTTGATAAGACCCTGATAATTAGGTCGACTTACATCTTCCTCTGTGACCTCGATTTGTTGATCACCAATAAGGTTCGCCGCGCGGTCGGCACCCTTGGCAATGTTTTGGCCCTGATGCTTGAGCTGTTCAACGTCCTCGGTGTTGCGATGCTCAAGCTGAGACACACCGTCTCCAGTCTTTGATGCGGTGTCCATGTTGTTTATTGGCGGTAAGCTGCTCTCTTGGTGAAAGGCTGACTAAGAAAGAAGGCAGGAATTCAAGAAGAGAGAACCGGCTTCTCCCTTGATGGTCCAAACATCCAGGCAGCCAAGATGGGCGGCGATCTCCTACCATCTTATACCTAGACCCTGTTTATCGTCGTATCGCCGGCCGCGTCGTAGGCCGCTCAGATGTTCGGCGAAAAGCTCGAGCCAAGTTCGTCATGAGCAACATTTGACCGTACGAGGTGCATCTAACCCATACCATCTCATCCAATAATTGCTTTAGATAGGCGGATGTGAGAGGATCCCCCCATGGGGACCTACCCGTTCCCCTCAGTCCAGCACCGCGCGCTAAGCAAGTTTGTAGGTTGGCATGGCACGCATGGCTGGCACCGCGTGGAGAGACCAGACGAAAATGGCACTAATTCCCCTCACGAACCACACGTTGCCCACCTTCGGGAGGTGGGGACGGAATGTTGGGGATGGAGAGAAGTCCGCGTGCGGTGGAGGGCAGGCTACCTGACTAGCCGTGCATAAAACCCTACACAAATGGGATAATTATGACCTAGTGCGGCCTCGCCTGGACAGACCTCGGCGGTGTCTGGCAAGTTGGAGGTGCGAGAGAGGACTGACAGCTTGATGCCCCCACGCAGAGGCTGAGGATTAACTTTGGCACCAAATAAGGATGACATGGTGTCTGTCAACTGACCCGAGACTGTGGACGTGTTCAGCTTTGCTATACTCTTTTCAGATGGGAGACTATCTAGTGCCCGGACTCCCTGAGAAGACGAAGGTTTGTACCCGTCAAAATCACATAGATGGTGTCTAGCGTTGGGGTAGCTATCCCTAGTTCCTTGCCCTTTCGGTAGGGGTAACCGAGGATAATGTCCACTTCCATCGGCCGACCGGCTTTGAAGTCGTTTTGCATGCTGCTGCCGATGGGGTGCATAGCCAGGATCTTGTTGATCAGCTTGTCGACCAGGTCGTAATCGATAGGCACCTCGCATGCCTTAGCAACATCGATAACTTCTCTCATCAATCGTTGGGTCATTGGGGTAGCGTCTGGCGAGGAGCTAAGCCATGAATGCGTGTCGAGTAGTGTTAATGTCGTGAGCGAGTTCCACGCTGCATTCCAAACAACCTTTTCCCAGCGCTGTACTTGGATATTGGGCACCACCTGGAATACTGTCCTGCCCTCTGTCAATAGAGATGCAAATTCGTCCAGTCGCTGCTTCTCCACTGCCTGGTCGGTATCATTCGGGTACAATCCTATTTGCATGTCCTCGGACTTTGTGTGTTTGATGTGCCCAGGCTGAGGCTGAGCGGCTCCGGTCCAGGTCTGTCTCATTAGTATAAGCTCATCCCAGGTTCTTGGAGACTCTCCCCCCGCGACTCACCACGCATGAGATAATTGTTGTGTGGGGGAACGCTTTGCGGAATGGCACTTCGTTACCGACACCATTCTGAATAATGACGATCGTGGATTTCTCCGCATCAACTGCCGGGGCAATTTCCGCGGGGACTGCATCCTGGGTGATGGCTTTGTGAGCGCAGACAATGTAGTCAAACTTCGCTTCCGCCTCTGCGGCATTCCTTACAACTTGGGGGTATTAGCTTTGAACAGCTGGATGAACAGGGTTAAGGCCATGATTTCGCTCCCCAGCGGCTACCCCGGATTCCATGTGCATACCTCTGTAAGGGCGAACGTTATGCTCTCCATGGTTTTCGCTCGCAATAACGATTCCATTTTCCTTCACTGCGTTATAATTTGACCTCGCAACAACCGTTGATCTAACACGCGGTACTCTGCTTAGAATAAAGGCGTAGAATGATCCAATGCTGAACAGATGGTGTCAGCTTCTCATCCGAATAGGAATTCAGGGTGAGTGACCCACGCCCCCAACCCGTAGAGGAGGACCTCGATCTGCTGGCCTTGTGCAGTCATTATCGAAGTCTTGGTGCTCGTTGGGCCTTGTTTCGGCGCAAAGACTTCGGTTGGCGTTCAGCTGTGCTCTGTAGCATGCACTTCTGGTATGGTCCCCTCACTCGACCTAGTATTTGTACACTAATCCGTCAGATTCCTGTTGCGAATACCGGCCGGCAACTGACTTCAGCCCCCGATGCTCGGTGCGGAGGCGGAGAAGCCACCAGGGCACCTACCCCAGAGATTCCTTCGCTATGACCTTCAGATCGGCGAACCTTGTGTTGTGTGCCCGTGTATCGTGGGGGAACGGGCGAGGAAGACTCCTTGGGGGTTAGATGGGGGTCGCCGGGCGTTGCATCCGGGGCCTGTGACCAGGGGTTCGGAGAGGTGTCCGACGTTGCGCCATCACCCCATCTTTCCCCCTCATTTCTCGGCCATCGTCCTGGTCCGACGCGGGGAAGCCGGTACTGAACCTTCTTTTCGTGATTGGAGGCCTCAGTGTGGTGAATCTCGGTCGACCTTCGTCTCGGGTCCGTGGGGTATTCAGGGGGGCTTCAGCCATTTGTTTGTCCATTGGAGTATGATATCATCGGTGCGACTGATGGGTTCAAAGCTCGTAGCATCGTGTCTACTCTGCCCTGGGTGGATTTGCGCTGCAAGACGGCGAGGAAAACGGGCCAGGTAGTTGCACGCAGAGAAGAGTTTTCACTCGGCATATGTGACTTTGAATCATGTTAAATTTGACCATAGTCCTAGTAAGCATGGACATGTCGCTTTCAATTACCTAGGTGCTTGACTTGTGATTTTGTGGTTGCGTACTGTCTAACCGCAACTCTCTCCTTCACCGTAGTTGTGAAGAAGACTTCTTCCTCTCCAACTTTTCGCCCCAGATTCTCGCACAATTCGCAATCTGCAACGCTGTCTCTCGGATTCTGGTAGCTTGCCTGACAAGCCTGCTTCTCTCCGAAGGCGTTTTGGGTGTCTTCCCAGGGTCTGATTCTTCCTCCTTAATCGTATGACCCCATTCGTCTGCCGACCTCGCCACTAATCGAGCGGCGTCTTCGATTTTCTTCCCCGGTGGCTCTGATCCGTCCTCAGTGAAACATTCTTGGGGTTGCGTTGCGATTACGCCCGCAATGAGGTTCCACACAGCAATCAGATCCTCCTTTGGTATGGATGGTGATATCGTCGCAGAGATGGACCGTCGTTCGGCGGAATAGCTCCGTACCGGCCTCGACGATGATCCTGGCCGATCTGATGTGCGTGCCAGCAGACAATTGCTGCACGCACCGTTGTAGATGCCCGGCATTTTGACGCACTCTGGTGAGATCCCGTCTCCCCTTCGGCATTTGGAGCATTGATCCGCAGAGCCTTGCAGGTCTCCTCGCTCATGAAGCATAATGGCTTCCAACACAGGCGTCTGTGAGATATCCGGTGATGCCCGACCGTGCCTGACCCTCCAGGCCCTCCGCACTGGGAGAGGACCCAGAATCTTCATGGTCTCTGTAGGCGTGATTGATGGTTGTAGGCCTTGATCTCCAGCATCTTGGGCAGTTTCTGGAGCTGCGTCTTTGATGTTTTTGTGTCGTCCTCTGTGCTCGTATGATCCTTGGCGATTCCCTACCCCGCTATGTGCTGGTGCGGTCTTCGAGCTGATCTGACCAACGCTTGCTCCTGCTCCCGTCCGGACTCTCGATGCCAGTGTGGTAGAAGGCATCGTACCCTGTTCTTTTTGTGTAATTTCTCCCGCTCTGGCCAAAAGTTGAAGCGTAATATCTGCGATTTCCCGTTCATCGCCCATCACGCTCAGGCAAATGAGGGCATATCAAGAAGAGTGATGCTGTTTGACCAACCGACCGAACCACCGAACATGAAAGGAAAAATAAACAACCCACCAGGGAAAAAAAAAAGAATTCAACCTCGTGATGCGGACCAGGTGGTCCACATACTCCAACGTACGAAAAAGCCACTTATAAGTTCCGGTGAAGAAGCCCGAAGTCTTGCCCCCAGTTACGTAATTCAATTGGTCATCTGTTCTACCGCGGGCGAGCTCGGAGGTGGTGGGTGATTGGCCGTCAGGAATTGCCGTGACTGTCAGATTCATGAGACGTTCTGGACTCTTGAAGATCTGCTGTCTCTGCACTGGGGGAGTCAGGCACTTTTGGTTCTGGGTCTGGCTCCAAGCGAGCCCTTCGTCCACGCCTTGTATGTTCGGGGTCCCCATGGAGGGTATACAGCGGGATACAAAAGCCCAGCATGGCTCCCAAATGAGCCCGGGAGAGAAGGGTGTTCGTCCAATTCAGCAACTATCCCACTAGTCATCATGTGCTATTCCCCGATTGGACCAAGTGGCAATATCGGGCTCGTTTTTCCGTTGCCAGTGTGGGAGGCTCGCCCGAGAAGTCGGGAATGACAACCCATCCCCGCGGAAAGATGCCTCGAGTGTCTCAACTGGTCGCGCATGCAAAGCTGAGAGAGCGGCCCTGGGCCGCCGAGGCGCCTGGGGGTTGGTCGGGAGCACAAGCGGTCACCAAGAAAAGGTTGAGAGGGCCAACGTGGGTTGGGTTACCGAACATAGCCGGGCCAGCGTCGATCCATTTGCAGAGTGTGAGATGAAATCTGACCGGACATACGCCAGGCCGGGTAAGGGTTAGCGGAAGCGCAAGAGAAGCGAGATGGGTTTGTTCTACTTTTGGCTTCGTACCTCGCATGGTCGCGTGCAAACAAGAAACAACAACACCCCCACGGGGAAGAGCAAAGTCTTTGGCATATGCTGGTTTTTCTGCGTCACACAAAACAATGGTCTCCAACCAGCGACAAATTCAGCGAAGTCGCGTGTGTAAGGAAAATAAAACCACGCCGGTTTCCACCGCGGATGTCACCATCTCGACTGATCAACACGCTGATTCCGGCCCGGAACAGTCCAGATACATGATCTGCTTGGGCAAACCATTGTGGAGAAGAAACAGTGGAGTCTGATGGGGTTGGTAGGTGGGAAAACCAGAATTATTTGGTACCAGAAACCGCCCCCCGCGGGTTTAGTCTCCGATACTTTCGTTTCCTCCGTTCTGTGGGGGGTAGGGAGGAGGCTTTTCGATGGCTTCGGACGACGAAATAGTCTACCATTAGACTCGTCTTGGAAGAGGTGCCGGCGTGGGGGTTCGGACTACGTGGTTACATGGGTCGTTCCTACGGCTTATGTTACCTATTTTCGTGCCTGACTTACACCGACACAAGGGAAGGGGGCGAAAGTCGATCCCATGATCATCCATGTTGCGCTGGCCTGTCTGACTTCCTTGCATTCTGAGTTTGGATGGGTTCTTTGTTACAAAAGCTTTGTTCGCGAGTAAGCTAATCTACCAAAACTCTCCTCACATCCCACCGCTGCTCCTGAATCTGCTCCCGCAAACTACTTGCTCCCTCGTGCCACAAACCCGCAGAATCAGTCCACAATGTCTCCCTCAGCAAACGGCGGTCCCGCCAGTCACAATGGCAACGGCACACAGCACGGAGGACGGCCGGCTCTGACTCCCGGCCTCTACGTCCCGACCGTGGCATTCTTCCGCTCCGACGACTCAGTAGACGTCGAAACCACACGCTCCCACGCCGTCCGTCTCGCCAAAGCTGGCGTCGCGGGCCTTGTGACCCACGGCTCCAACGGTGAAGCAGTGCACCTCGACCACGATGAGAGACAACTCATCAACCGCACCACACGAGCCGCGCTCGATTCAGCAGGAAAGACAGAACTACCTCTGATTGTCGGTTGCGGCGCGCAGTCGACAAGGGAAACTATTCAACTCTGCAAAGAGGCTGGTGCATCAGGAGGCGACTATGCGCTCGTCCTCCCACCAGCTTACTACGGTGGCCTCCTCACCACCGACCTCATCCTACAACACTTTCGCGAAGTCGCAGACGCAAGCCCGATTCCTCTCCTCATTTACAACTACCCTGGCGCCTGCAGCGGCCTCGATCTCAACTCAGATACCATCATCAACCTCTCGAGTCACCCCAACATTGTCGGCGTAAAGCTGACCTGCGGTAACACTGGCAAGCTGGCTCGGATAGCTGCTGCTACAGCCCCCAAGAAGGGCGACAACAACACGACACCATTCCGGACATTTGGCGGTAGCGTCGATTTCACTCTGCAAACACTCGTCGTCGGTGGCCATGGCATCATCGGTGGAACCGGAAATATTGCACCTCTTGCTTGTGTGAGGCTGATGCAGCTTTGGGATGAGGGCAAGTTGGCCGAAGCGAGAGAGCTGCAGGCAGTTGTGGCCCGCGGTGACTGGACTGCTATCCAAGGAGGATTTGTCTCAGTCAAGGCAGCATTGCAGGAGTACTACGGCTATGGGGGGCTTCCGAGGAAGCCTTGTACATTGCTCGAGGGAGAAAGCCTGACAAAACAGGTTGACGGATTTTTAGAGTTGATTCAGGCTGAGAAGGCATTGCAAAAATAGATGCTTGTAACAAGGTGGATTTTGGCTTAGGTTTCAAGAGAATCATAGCGTATTGATCATTGAATGAGCTTTCACCTGAACATACTGGCAAGACAAGTGTTGGAATGAATGACAATGGTCGCGTCCCAATTCCCCGTCGACAAATTGAGCGTCACTTTGTCGCCTACTGCATGCACTTTGGCTGATATTCAGTGGATTGGTTGGGGAATCTCCCAATCTAGAAATGGGTGCTGTACTAATCCGACGATACGGGGCGCCCTTTCAATCTTTCCGTCTTAATGCCTCTGCATAGATGATGTCGTTCGATCCTCTGATACAGCTTCGACAAAACACTCATTGCGGTTATTCTTGCTTCAAGATCATAAGAGCCCTGTAAACACGCCCGTTTCCGCCGTATTTGGTATCATCTTGGAGAAACTCCGTTCCGATCACGAAGCCAAGGCGCTTGTAGAGGTCCACCCCGTCCTTCATAGCATGTATGAAGATGGCAAGGCCCAATTCTTCGTCTTTTGATATGCCACTTTTGACCAAAGCAGTGTCTATGCCTTTGCCTTGGTTGTCCGGATGAACTGCCAGGTAGTCCGGTCCTACGTGACAAGCATAATAAGCACTTGGGAGATGGAAGCCGCAAGTCAGAGGAAAAACACACGCATGTAAGCTCTTGTGCTTAGAATTTCATCCTCCGCCTCCCGAATAGGGACAAGCAAATCTTTCCGATTCCTCGTTAGGATCCCAATGAGCTGTCACGGCAACGCGCCGGATCTCCGCTTCTTCCTCTTGGCTGACAGACGGAACCACGGCATCGGGCCAAGCCGGGGCCCCGCCGATGCTCTTGGCGTGGGATGCGGGCAGAATCCACCGAGCATATCCCACTATTCGCCCGGTGACGGAATCCACGGCCTTTTGATGTCGCTTCGTATCGGGGTCACTGATGAGGTTTCGCGGCGTTCGCTTGGCTATCTGCATGATATGGTACTCAAGGGTCCGATGGCACCAGGCGAGCTGCCAGTGGGGATCTGCCCAGAAGGCGGGGATGTTGTTTCTGGTCAGCCAGCTCATGGCTGTCGGCCACAGTGCAGCCCGTAATGATGATTTTGGATGTAGTTTCCATCGCTTCGACTTGAGAAAACAGCGCAAGACCATGCTGGTTCTTTGGACAGAAGGACCGCAGCAAAGCGATATCTTGGGAGCTCATGACATTTTCGGACAACGTGGTCACTTGGTGGGTTTTCTGCCGTGGCCCGGCTATCGGCATTTTGGAACTGCATACAGCACCATCCCTGCATGCCAGGCCATGAACCAACATGTCAGCCTGACTGCTATCTAGCTCGGAGTTCAGCCAAGTTTTCGAACGACAATACAGTCCTTTGGAACAATAAAAGGGCGTGTAACAGAATTGAAGAAGCTGTTACGGATCGAAAGACACCTGCTTAGTACACCTTCTATCTCGAAGGGCTACAATGACTCACCATCTGGGATTTGAGACTTTCGTTGAATACGTTCATGTGTCGAAGCCGAAAGCTGTTTTTCAGAGCCTCAACACTCTGCCTCTTCACCTTGATGCAAGCTGTCGATCCTTCTACAGCTATGATGCAGGTTTCTAGCACTCACAGACGGCGACAGGCTGGAGAAGTCCGTCTGCCTTTCCCCGCCTTACCCGAGTCTCCAACGCTCTCAGAACAGTGTCGCGTGACCGTCATTCTCCCTCAACTCGTGATGATTCATCTCGTTGTCTTGCATAAACCTCCTTCCTTCTCTTTTCACTTGTCGTCAAATGATCACCATGGCAATTCTTGTCATCCATCACCCAATGAATACCGCCTCTTCAAACCCCGCATCAAACCCCGTGCTTCGTGCCCCGACCTAATCGCGACTAAACTCTGACGACGTGCCAACAAGGCCAGACTATCCCCGGAAGAGGAAACGAGCTGACCCCCACGGAGGGATCTATGTATTTCTGGCTTGTCTGGCGTTTCTGTTCGGGGCCTAGCCCGACGTCCGAGCGGCTCTGCGGGTCTGGATCTGCGGGGCTGACCCCCATCCATCCCATAATTCATGCGGGGAGCGGGTCGGACGCGAGACCACGAATCCGCGAAGAGGTTGTGTGTACTTGAACGGAAATGGTCTGATGCGTCTCTGATGGTTGCTCCCCTCTCTTCTCTCAGGGCTTGACATCTCAAGTCAGCTTTCCCCGCAGGTACCTCAATTCGCATCCTACCGTACGAGACGGCGCACGAATCACCTGAGTTTGGCTCCATGCAGAAACCCGTTTCGAGCCAACAATCGAATCTAGTGTAGCTGGCGGCAAATCATGCGGGGACGACTGGGCACCGACGTGGGGGTCTATGAGCGTGTCGTAGGTAGATGGGGGGCTTTTGATCTCCATGAAGCTCATCAGGGTAGTAACTCCAATAAGCATATGAAGAATATCCAGGAGGAAGGAGTGTTGCAAGTTGTTTGGCAACATTTATTCAGACAACCACAACTATGCCGACTATTCTGGAAAAGCTCTTCTCTCTGGAGGGCCGCACAGCCGTGGTCACGGGAGGTACACGGGGAATTGGCCAGGCCATGGCAGTATCACTTGCAGAAGCAGGATCAGATATCATCCTCATCCAAGTAAGAAAGCATGACCACGTAAATATGTAGCTTGACGTTAACAAAAGGAAAGAGAGACGAAAGCAACACTGAAACGAAAACACAAATCGAGACCCTGGGCAGAAAAACCTTCATCTACACAGCAGACCTTTCAAATCAAGAGGAAGTGGAGAGCTTGTCGAAGCGCATCTTAGCCGATGGCCACGATGTCAGCATTCTAGTCACCTGTGCCGGCATTCAACGCAGACATCCCGCGCACAAGTTTCCCATGGGCGACTGGGACGAGGTCCTCCAAGTCAACCTCAAGACAGTCTGGACTCTTTGCCGAGACTTTGGCGCTTACATGCTCACACGCAGCCCCAACTCGATAAACGGCCACCGTGGTAGCATCGTCAACGTGGCGTCGCTCGTCAGCTTCCAGGGAGGCATCACGGTGCCGGCCTACGCAGCGGCCAAGGGCGGCATAGCACAGCTGACCAAGGCGCTGAGCAACGAGTGGGCGAGCCAGGGTGTCAACGTGAATGCCATTGCGCCTGGGTATGTTGCAACAGATATGAATGAGGCGCTGATCAATAATCCGGAGAGGGCGGCAAGTATTCTGGCCAGGATCCCCGCGGGAAGATGGGGTACCCCGGATGACTTCAAGGGTGCCACAGTGTTCCTCGCGGGGGCGGGGAGTTTGTACGTTTCGGGAGAGCTGCTTACTGTCGATGGGGGCTGGATGGGCCGATGATACTTGAAGCTGTGTACTTAGTCAAGTAGAGATGTGAGAATACAACATAAAGTAACATCTGGTCCAGAATAGTATCGACGTGGTCTGAAATCTAAAGCACTACTCATGAGACGGCATCTTGAGCTGAGTGAACCCCACGTCTTGATGTGTCTTGTATACAACGGCACTTGCTTTCCCCGCTTGGCCATAGGTCTGACTGACGCTCGATTCCACATGGGCGTGGAGCCAGGGAGAACCCCTCTGTCTGAACATGGTGTGATGTGGCGTGGGGGTTCGAAATTTTCCGATCCTCTGATGGTGTAATGTCATGCATTTACGCACATCATCCCAAGGTTGGATATGCTCTGACCTCTAGAGTCAAATAATGTCGAGTGGCAAGAGGACCGCAAGCAAAACCCTTCAACAATAGCTTAAAGCACAACCGAACTCGCGGAAATGATTTGGAAACAACTTGATCGGACTATTGGAAGTGATATCAAGGCAGTGATTTGGCAAATAATGCGCTTCCAGATAAATGTCATATATCGAGGGATGCTGATGACAGCAATTGGACTAATGCTGTTGCTAAAACTATAGTATAACTCCTCCAACCATTGAGCCGTCCAACTACCATTCTCTGATGCTGCCGTCGGGGCCATGGAAAACCTTGCACTGCCACGGCTCTGTCTCCTTGGAAATTTTGATAACCATCTCCTCGTCGATATCAATGCCCAACCCGTAGCCCGTCGGCGCTTTTACATAACCGCCCTCGATATCGAACACCGTGGGATTCTTTAGATATGTCAAGAGATCGATATCTCCTGCCTCAGTATTGTAGTGCATTCCCAGACTCATCTCAAGAATAGAAAAGTTGGGCGCTGATAAGGCGACTTGTACGCTTGCCGCAAAGGCGACGGGACCAAGGGGGCAGTGGGGTGCAATTGCCACATCATAGGCTTCGGCCATTGTAGCGATGCGCTTTGTTTCGGATATACCTCCAGCATGAGCAATATCCGGTTGAAGGATGTCGACGCTGGCGTCCTCTAGGAAGCGTTTGATGTCCCATCTCGTGTAAAGACGCTCACCAAAAGCAATCGGAATCGTCGTCTGATTTGAGAGCTGCTTGATGGCTTCCGGGTGCTCGCAAAGTAGGGGCTCCTCGATGAACAGGGGCTCATATGGTTCTAGAGCTCTGGCCAGCTGCTTTGCCATGGCCTTGTGCAGGCGGCCGTGGAAATCGAGACCAGCGTCGAGACCAAGAGCCTTGACCTGTTTGAGACGCTCCACTGTGTCTTTCAGGACTCTGGGAGAGTCAACCCAGTTCATGTCCTCTGTTGCGTTCATCTTGACGCATGTCAGACCTTGAGCAATGCGCTTTTTCCTGAACGGATTATTAGTATCGTAACTTCCTGCCGATTATCGGGATACTTACGCTGCGGCCTCAACATCTGATGGTCTGTCGCCCCCAATCCAGCAGTACACTTGAACCTTGTTGCGGACCTGGCCGCCCAGTAGCTCGTAAATGGGAACTTTCAGGTTGCGACCTATAGATCATGACTAATTAGACATTTTTCTCGGCTATGTGGAGTCTTCGTGTAGAATATTGCACACACCTTTCAGATCCCACAACGCAATGTCAATGCCTGACATTGCTGACATGAAGACGGGGCCTCCTCGATAGAAGCCATGGCGCCAGAATGTTTGCCAAATGTGCTCAATGTTGCTGGGCAGAAGTCAGACAAAGTCTTACGAAAAGTAAGTTCAATACTTTACCCTGCTTCAAGACCGACTATCCTAGGGATCATCTCCTCAAGACAGCCCTCAACAGCCAGATCATGACCCTCGAGCGTTGCCTCGCCCCAACCATACTCGCCATTCTCGTCGGTGATTTTCACCATGAGCCAACGAGGCTTTACGCGGTAATACCGCACGGACGCAATCTTAGCCATGATGTACTAGAGGACGGGAATGGCTCAATAGTGTTCAGATGATTCGAAGCTGGTCGTGATAGAACTCAATACAGCTCAAGCAGTCGTGAAGCACATACAATCATTCATGATTCATCCCATTCTTAACAATGGCCCCCGCATCGTGAAGCTCTGCCATGCAGCGGTACATGTGTAACAATACGATCCACCAGGCCTCAAGGATTGGGGTCACCGGGTATGCCCTCCACGTCTGGCGTTGGTGGTTCATCCCCCACGTCTGGCACGACCCCCACCGAGGCTGGCACAATTGTTCAATACGTGGAGGAATCGTGGAGAATGCATGGGGAAATCCACGATCTCCACCCATTTTACGGGCCGCGGCTTAACGCGGTGTTGTTCCCGTTCCATTCCACGTTAGACACAAGTTGTCCGGCTCGGACAATCTAGTCATGCATTTCTTGTTCTCGTGCCTCGTGCTCACCTCATTATCCACACATGAAATTGTGCGCCCTAGCTCGTTCCCAAACATGGTAGTTTCTTTTACGAACCGATTTCGTGGTGTGGGTTTGTCATGACTCGAAGGGATCTAGCTGGCACGGCTGACGCCCGCTGATGTGTTGGGTGCAGCGGTATTGCTCCCAAAGCTCACAAACATGTCTCTAATCACCTTCAACGTCAAGCAACTGTGCTGCCGAGATATGGCTATTTGACTGGCTAGGTAGGTACTGAGGCAATCAACGTACTGAGGCAATCAACTGACTGCGAGGAGTACGGATAGACGGGCATTTGTGGCTGCATAATTCCTTCAGGTAACCCAGGTACTTAACTTAGTAGGGTGAGGTACCTTGTTTCTCAGCAAGGGGCTGCTGAAGGGCAGCTCATGCCAAGATGTTGAGGATTTTGTGAAGAGCCACATCGGTGTTCATACCGAAGCTGTGTGTGTCGCCGCGCATCCGGGTGGATACTGATTCATTGCCGTTCGAGCAACTCTTCTTACGCTCCCCGGCCAGGCCCGATCGGAGTTGGCCTTCCGCCGACACTTAAGAGGCGACTAACACCGTGAGACAGAAAAGTGGCGTCGTTGTGAAAGCGGCTGATTTGCCCACACTTTGGATCATTTATAGGTGTCCAATCAGCAATGAGTTTTGATAGCCGACGCGTATTCTTACGTTCATCTACAATCCTCCGTCTATTAGTCTGTCATTTTCACATTAGTCGTGATCTATTAGTTCGCATTTTATCCCGATCTCATCTTTTCCCTCCGTCTTGCAACGATCATGCAGTCTCATGTCCTCCCGGCTTGTTGCTGCGGTGCGCTGGTGCGCTGTGCCAGCACTTGCTCGTGGTTGTCGTGGTTGCCATCATGTGAGCTTTTCTCACTCGGGTGTCCCATTTCTTCATCCCGACTCTCACTGAAGGTGTCATCTGACTTCGCCTCCTCGATCGGATGCAAGCCTCTGTCTTTGATCAACAGACAGCCCACCAAGCACAACCCGATCAGTGGTATCTGAAGAATGAAAACTGCTCGACTTGCCGCCATGTATGCGTCGAGAACCGCGGACTTATCTTGCTCATTCAGTTGCGGTATCGAGTAAGTACTGCTGGCGAGGTCCTTGAAGCCTGGAGGCAAGTTTGCTCGCAAAGTTGCTTGAAGCACTGCCGCGGAGACGGCTAATCCGCAAGCACCACCGGCACATCGAAAAAAGTTGCGATTTGAAGTGATGACTGCCCGACGAGACTTGATGGAGTGCGCCTGCAGGGCCACCAGCGTTGGCTGGAAGATGAATCCGACACCAATGCCGATGATCAGCAGAGGAATGACGATGATTCCAGGCTTGGTATTTCGGTCGAAAATAAGTGTGAGACCAGCTCCTCTATGTCATTTGTCAGATAGATGCAAACGTAGTAGCTGGGATTGGGAAAGCCCTCGACTCACAGTGTCCAGAGGCCAAAGCCTGCCCAGATTACTTCTCCATAGCGCTGAGTTCTCGATATGTACTGTCCCGAGATGATTGAGAATACGGATTGACAAACAACTAAGGAAACATAGATTCCCGCCGAATGAATGACCGAGAATTGATGAGCGTTCTGGAGATACAGCGGGATGTAGTAGAGATATCCTTGGTACGCTGCTCCGAACAGAAATGACTGTGCCAAGAGGACAACAACAACCTTGTTCTTGAAGATGGGAACTGTGTATTGTTAGCTAGCACTCGGGGACATATTTCTTGTTGACGAATATTACCTGGCATCATCGGAAGCTTGGCGAACTTCCACTCCACAATGACAAAAGACACAAGAGCAAGCGCCCCTATTGTCAACATGCTGATAACCATTGCTGAATTCCATGGAAAATATGCGCCACCTGGCAGAGTAAATCAGCTTTTGCTCTATCAACGCACGGGATCGAGCCGAGGAATAACTTACCTCCAGAGATGGGAATAAGCAGCAAAATAACGCCGGCCGACGAGGTGAATGAGCCTGCATAGTCGATCTTTTTGACACTCTTCATAAAGTCGTCATCTGGGGGCTTAGATGGCAGGAAGAAGTATGAGATGATACCGACGATAACACCGAGGGGTGAGAGCATCCAAAAGAACGCTCTCCATGTTGCCCTCTCAACAAAGGCGGCAGCAAGAAAAGGGCCGAGAACATTTCCAAGACCAACCATCGAGCCCAAGATTCCTTGATACTTGCCTCTTTGTTCCAAAGTAACGACATCGGAGACAATGATCATGGCGAGATTTGTGATACCGCCTCCGCCGATGCCCGCAACGCCACGGAAGATGTAAAACATTGTTGCATTCTGTGAAAGCCCACAGAGCAAGTCTGCAATTGACAAAAGACCGATGGCGCTCAGAAATACGGCTTTTCGGCCGAAAATATCTGAGAAACGCCCGTAGAGCATCTGAAATGTCGTGTTGGCGATGAGCGATGACGTACCCGCCCATGATATCGTATCCTCCGCGTTGAGGTCCGCAGCAATCGTTGGCAAAGTGATACTGATGCCATTCTGGTCGATGAATGAGACTAATAAAGTCACTGCAAGGGTTGCAAAGACAACCAGGAGTTTCTTCAAAGGTAAGATGTTTGTCTGGTCGTGGAGAGCCTTTTCGGCCTTGGTTGTTTCCTGATCGCCCCTCATGCTGCAACCCTGGGTAGTCGATCGCTTGGGACAAAGTACAACAATTTCGATGGCAAGAATATCAGCGTAAAGTATGGCCGAGTGATTAAGAAGCTCCAAGAGAATATGCGGCTGAAACTATGAGTAAAAGACCAGCGCATGAAAACTTTTCGTGAGACAATCCGACGTTGAGAGCGGATACCAGCGTCCGGAGGAGCCAAGACTCGGATCACCGCCGTCAAAGATTGGTCAATCGGCCTCATCTCGGCTCCGGGTTCGGCAGCGAAAAAATTGGGCTGAAGAGTTGAAGGGGGGCGAATTCAACGCTGACTATTGAAAAAATGGGTGCGTCATGGCTAGGCCAGACCAACAAGGGATTTCGGCAAGTTTTGAAGCGATGGACTCCACAAAAGTCGTTGCTGGTCGGAACATCCGATGCCGTCGGCTGGTCGCCAATGTGGCTCGCTTATCATTCTCGGCGGATGTCCGACGCTATTTATCCCGCATGATTCGCTCACCTGGAGACCATGTTATCAGAAAGCATTCGCTCGTCTGGTCGATAGAAGGTGCCAATTTGACAGCTAAGCTACTTCTTATCAAAAGGTTGAGATGGAGATGAGATAGCGGCATCAAGGGAAAGGCAGCTTTCAGTTATGATAAGGAAATACAACCTCAACTTGATAAATAAAGTAATGACGGCGAAAAATCGCAACTTGACATGAAACTTCGTAAGGTGTGTTGATGGTACTGGTTGAAAGGCACAACAAGTGTATCTGGAATTATTTAAACAATTTACACTGAGCGATGATGTTCTTGACGAGGCTCACAAGAGCTTGCTCGTCCCGGCACGAGTTCAAGCAATTCATCCAAACCAAAGAACATCCCGAAGAGGGGACGGCGTACTTCAACGAAGATTTGCTACCTACTCCTTCAGGTCAGTTGTCATTTGAAAGCTTTTCGACACAATGAGCAAATAGCTAATTTTTCTCTGAAGAGCATCGAAGTTGGACAGCTTTACACTTCTTCACGTACTACTTGACCCAGACATTTTCTCCAGGCTCTTACAATCTTGGAGCAACTCTCATCTCAATTGGCTTAGTATGTTGAGTCTAGTCTCTACTGTACATTATACTATGAGGAGTCTCTTACAATCAATGCGCAGCAATGGTGGCACGGCATGATTGCAGCCGTGATCGGCTCCGCTATCCTCAGCGTTGTGGTTATCCTCAACTCCCGCGGTGCAACTTGCTATCATGTTGGATTCCCCGTATACGTTCGCGCTGCTGCCGGTGTTAGCGGTGCAAAACTATTTATAGTCGTACGCGCCTCCGTCGCCGTCATCTACTTCGCAACTCAGTCATTCTATGGCGGTATGCTCACTTCAGTGGCCCTCAGGGCCATATTCGGCTCCGGGTGGGACAATATTACTAACCGCCTCCCGACAAGCGCGGGGATCACTTCCAAGAACCTGTTGGCATTCTTCATCTTCTGGATCATGCAGTTTCCGGTGATGTTCATCCATCCGACTATTCTTCGACACCTATTTGTGGTGAAGTCCGTGGCTACAACTGCAGGCCTAGTCGGCGTCCTAGGATGGGCAGTACATGCGAATGGAGGGAGCCTGGGTGGTTTTAACTTTGGAGCAAAGTCTCTAAGCGGCGCGGCACTTGTGTGGCCCATGATCCAAGCTATCAACAGCGTCATGGCGGCCCTCTGCCCGATCCTGGTCAACCAACCTGATGTCGCTCGGTACGCTACACGTCCAGCACAGGCAACCTGGTCACAAGCCATTGGTATCCTGGTCAGTAAGGTGCTCGTCATGTTTCTGAGCTGTGCCACAACTAGTGCGGCTGCTGGTGTTCTTGGCAAGAGCTATTGGAACGTCTGGGATCTCTACAACGCTATCTTGACTGAGTACTGGGGTCCTGGAGCCCGCGCTGGGATGTTCTTCGCTTCGGCGGTAAGATGCACATCGTCCAGAGCGGTTTTCGGTTTGCTAATCGGTGTATCAGGGCATGATTTTGGCGATTATCGCGACCAATGCCGGCTCAAATTCCCTGCCTGTCGGTGCTGATACCAGCGGGCTGTGGCCGAGGTATATCAACATTGTCAGGGGTCAGGTGATATGTGCTCTGCTTGCACCCCTTTGTGTACCGTGGAAGATTATCGCCAGTGCCAGTTCCTTCCTCACTTTCTTGGGGTCATACACCGTTTTCTTGATGCCGACCTGTGGTGTAAGTACAAGTAGTCTTTATCCCTACAAGAAATCCCCGTCGTATTAATGAATCTCCAGATCATGGTTGTAGACTACTGGATCATCCGTCGAGGAAACCTCCATGTTCCAAGCTTGTACACAAAAGTAGAAGGCGCTCCTTACACGTACTACAAAGGTTGGAATTTGCGCGCGGTCGCCGCATGGGTTGCTGGCGTTGCGTTTACTGTACACGGCATTGCTGGAAATCTTGACCCCGACTCCGTTAACCAGGCAAGCAAGAACATGTATAAGCTCGGTTTTCTGCTTTCTCTCGCAATGGGTTCGCTAGTCTACTTCGTAGCTTGTGCTATCTGGCCCATTCCGGTTTATCCACAAGAGCTGGAGTCAGAGATAAGCACGGGCTTTGAGAGCATGGCGCCATCAGAGGGTTTCTTTCCCGGAGAGAGTGTTGATACTATTCGTGGAGTCTTTTATGCCGTTGAGGAGACTGAAGTCAAGCAGACTACGGGGAGAAGCGCCGGCGCTGAGTCTATCAGCGAGAAGTATACGGTTTAGAATAAGATGTGGTCAAATACTACTTACTCGGATAACAAATTTTGTACGTTTCATTTCGTCAGATTTTCGCGGCTTCCAAATAAACTGGTCTAACTTCTTAATGGAATTATCAAGAGTCTTCGATTACTTGTCTTATCACCATAAAATCACCGTTGAAATTTGCCCCAACTGGTGAAAGGTTTCGACAACCTTTTCCCAGAAAAGATATCTTCTGCTAAATGCAAGGGACCAGACAGTACTTCCATTGTATTCCATTTCAAGGAGAACCGTTTTTAGATTTGATTCGATTCAGATGCTCTATTCGTTCCAAGTGCCTGAAAGACTCTGTAGTAACTCAAAATTCGGCATCCAGACAGGACTTGCACCTTCTGTGTCCTGATCGATCCAATTTGCAAGCTCTGCAACCATCGGCCAAGCGCCCTCAAACTCCCCAAGCGCTATTCCACCGTCTTCAGACATCAAGAATTGATTATAAGTGCTATCAATCGGACGCGTCGTGGTCTCGTTCCCACTGAGGTCAGGATTTTGTACTCCACGGCTATCAGCCGCACCCGGTGCTTTGCCGGCTCTCATTTGGGCCGAGGCCATCTCAGCAAGGCCAGCCTCGTTGTCCTGAAGCTTTTCCATGGCTGCATTGACAAGCACCTCGAATGCGTCTCGGTACTTACGTACCCAGGGAGCCCTCTCGCTCATGACGAAGAGCACTAGGGAGCAAGCTCTGATATCGTTTGACACAGCCACCGACCAAAGGGCATTACCCTGGGTCCAGATTCCATACACGAGAGTGACTCCTGCAACAAAGACTGTTTGGACTGCGATGAAGCTGTGGCCGTAGTCTAGCGTCTGATGCAATCTCTTATGTGCTTGGCATATGTCACCTGCGGCCCGCATGCACAGTCCGTAGAACGGGTCTGTTGCTGGTAATATCGGCAAAAACGGCTGTATCAAAAGACGGAGCGCACGATTATAGAGCAGAAGCGCATAGTTCAGATCTGGATGACCTGCAGGAATCCAATCCGTCAGAGAGTCCCGCCAGGATTTGAGTTGTTGATGCAGCCGGTCTAGTTTGGGCCGGAGTGCGTCCAAAGTCTTGTCCGTACGATAGACCGAGTGATGAATCTTGGACTCGATCCTGCGAAGCTTAAAAAGAACAAGTGCCAGAGTGATGTCGTTCCCGACAAGGACCGAAGCAGATGGGCTCCCGTTGATGATGGTATTCGGAAGCTCAACGTCGATCTGGTTATCTGCGATGCTTAAAGGCCGACCCAGCGACACTGCTATGGTTCTTTCAAGAGAATAGACAGACCAAAAAAGCCTGCGTCTTCTTTGAACGATAGGACCATCAAGATTTTGTTCATGTGCCGCACGATGTAAGCCGAGATCGATTGATGTTCTCATTGCTAGGCCAATCATGTACCACAGCCCATGACTAGATGTTGACCGAAGATGGAACATCACGAGTAACGTCATTGCCTCGATGTTTTGGACTGTTCTCGACTCCCTGGCTGCTGAGATGTGCTGTAAAGCTGTGATATAGAGAGCCTTGAGGAATGATGTCAACAATCTCAAACCTAAGGTACTTAATGATGGTGTCAAAGGCATACCTCTGGAGATAACACTGGCCCCCTTTGCGTCAATTGCACTAAAGTTGCCCCCATAGCGTATACAAGATACAACTTGAAGATACCGAAGCGTTCAATCCTTGTAAGAGTTTGTGTTGGTTTAGCAGCCAGAGTCATTCTCTCGCTATGCAACTTCCACAACTCCTCAGGCTCCAGGAAAGGGTACTTGGAGTGCAGCTGAGACGTGTACGCTTTGAGCATTTGAGAACCCTGCTCATCACTTGGAGGTTCCTTGACACTATGAGCCAAAAGATCTTCCACTGTGATGCATCTCGGACTGGGATTGATACAGTTAGCTTGATTGCCTGTAGTGCCATCCTGTATGTCTGGCAACATCTTATTCCAGACAGTCGCTTGAACCATCTCGCCAAGATTCAGGGCTAGGGATAGTCCAGACGAGGGTCCAACATAAGCCGGCGCCTCAAAGTTTCCTAGCGAGACGTGTGCTACAACGTCACTGAGCGCATTTTTGTCTCTACCCGATGGAACTGAGTAGTTGCTTGCGGTTTCCCTTGGAGTTGTGGTTGCTTCTGGGGTAGGGACTTGGGCTAGCTTGTTCTCCAAGAAAGCTACTCGCTCTTCGAGAGCTCGTGTGTATCTGCATCGGAGTTCAGTCTACATACATTCGATCAAAACTTGTCAACTTGATCGGCATCGAAGGACCAACTACTTACGCAATCGATGAAGCATCGTCGGAGACATCTGTCTTATCACACTGTGCTCCTGATTTACGACAATTGGAGCAAATAGGATATTGGTCGTCACACTGGACCTAGAATCAGAGGAAAACGTCCTGCGTGCAATCTTGATTGGCTCTGGGTAAGCACCTTCTGCTTACGACTTTTGCATCTCGTACATGCAGTCCTGCCCCTCTTCCGGGGGTTCACAGCTACAGCCCCGGGCGTGGCCAGGGGCGGTGATGCCGAGTTCTGAGTTTCGGACGTCATGCCCGTCCTTCAATGCCAAGGTTTGTTGTGCTGCCCAAAACTTCGTTCGGATGATAGGGGCGGAGATCCGATTTACATACTTGTCGGATCCTCCTCAAATTTGCCGATGCCGCCTGAGCGCAGTTGATTGTTGGGACTAATCCGTGCAGGGCTAGTCTCTTCGGACAACATCCGATTCTATGGACAGTCACCTCCGATCGGAGGTTCCGACCATATTTGTGTCAACTGGCCGTTTTCGGCATTCGACCGTCTCGACAGGGAGCTTTCTGGCCGAAATCTGAGAATCCTAACAACAAACGATGTTTGGTCGACAACCCATTGCGCGACGATTATTCGCGTTATACCATTTGTTTCGGCTAGTCTACGTCTATTGGTTCTGACCCCGAGCTAGTTCTCGATTCCAATGAGCCTGAGAAGGCTCACACGGTCAAACAGTTTGATATTGACTGCATACATGTGATTTATTTGCCCTTCATCCACTTCCTGTTTGGCTCGTATGGAAATTCCGCTCTCATGTGTTTGGCGATATCTCGTCTCGTTGTAACCCAAACTCCTTCTTTTGCCGCAATGTACTTCATGAACTTTCTCAAAGCCTCCGATCTGCCTGGTTTGCCAATGATACGTGTATGCAATGGAATGTTCATCAGCTTGCCGCCCTCTCTGTACAAGCAATCAAAGGTGTTCTTCAAATACTGCTCATACGTCTCCGCAACAGAGCTGCCAAAGCCGGGCGACATGTGAAATTTTCCATCGTTGCAATCATAATTGTAAGGGATAAGCAGCATGCCTTCTCGCTTCTCCTCTGGCAACTCCTTCTCCCATGGCAAGTCGAGCCAGTAAGGAACATCATCGTTGTAGCATTCAGAAGACCAGAGAAACTCTCCTCCAAGACTCTTCCATACTTCCGGGAATAGCGAGGGGGTATTGGGTGTACCACGGCCAAAGTAAGCGCCGACGGGCATCTCACCTGATACTTCCTTCAGCATCAGGATGTTCTGTTTGATGTATTCCTTGTCCTCCTCGAGTGAATAGTTCCAGATATCCAGCCATCTGAGTCCGTGACAAGCGATTTCGTGCCCGTCTCGGACCAGCGCCTTTGCAAAGGTCGGGTTGCGCTTGAGCGCGTGCGCTACAGCGTAAGTAGTGAAGCTCCAGCCAAACTCTTTGAAGAGACGGATAAGACGCCAAGAGGCTGAGCGACTGCCATACTCAAAGTCTTGCTCAGCATTGAGGTACCTGGCGCCTTCTTTGCAGCCACCGGATGCGCCTTTCTCCCATAAGTAAGGTTCTGAGAAAGGGTCTCCGTCCAATGTGCTTCGTTCTCCGCCTTCCCTAATCATGTTTAGTGACAATATCATCAAGTTGGTGATAACCAAACCTACTCATAGTTGAGGACGAAAGAAACCGCGATACGGGCACCATCTGGCCATTTTGGATCGAAGCCCTCCTCGCCGAAACCTAAGGGTGTTTGTATCAGTAACTGCGAGTACGCTGAAAGTAACAACAGACTCACCCTCAAAGTCCCGGGGTATCTGCAAGCTTTCTTCGACATGAACCATTTTGTTAAGTGTAAAGATTAATCGGGTTGTTGATGATGAATTCCAGTCACGAGAGAGAATGTGAAACAGTCGCTTTTACTAGTTATTTGAACTAGCACATAACATTTTGAAAGAAACATGAATGCATAAAGGCGCACCCATGATATACATCCAGCTCAAGGAAATGCTCTTCGATTAAGGTATATTCACCGAGGCCAATCAGGCGTTATCGCGATATGCTTGATACCAAGCGGGGTATTCCTGATGGTGGGGAGATCCTTCACGAGATAAGGCGATGGCGGGGAATGCCTACCGCAGTAAGCACCTAAGATGCGTTCTACTTCCGGTTCATCACTCCGATCGCTTCATAACTTGCATGTAATTTCGGACGCCCGAAAACGCTAAGATAAGTCATTTCTAATTAGGCCGATAGAGATAGGCGGGTTGGCCAACGATGCTGATGTGGACTTACCTATCTTGGTACGTTTCCCGCGATTCAAGCCAGGCATAATAACCTACACTTGACGCCTTGATAGATGCACAATCAGCGACAGACCATAACTCATGTGCAAAGTTTATTGCCCGGCTGAGTGTGAAATTTTTACAAATCTTGGTTCCCTTGGAACTATATTGACAACACGTCCGTCTTCTCGCTGGAAGTAGAAAAGGCAAACCCAGTGACAGCAGGAGTCCTGGACGACAGCTTGCGAGCGCTTGGCGTTACGATCAAACCGGAAGAAAAGGATGAATATCAGAGGCTTCTAGCCGTGTTCCACGAGTCTGTAGTGGGTCTTATGTCACTCCCTGGTAGGTTTCGTGTCCCGACCTTAGTTGAAGACATACTAATGACAATTTACGTCGCAGATTATGTGCCTCCAGTAGATGAGGAAAGATTTCCAAGGGAGGAAATTCGATTTCCGGTTGTCTCGGAGAATCCTTTGGGTGCTTGGGCTTGGAGGTGCCGAGTAGAGGACAAGACCAAAAGCGGGGGATTGCTGGCAGGTAAAACGATAGCCATCAAAGACAACATCGCAGTCAAGGGCGTCCCAATGCTTCTTGGCACCAACTTTGTTAGAGACTACGTTCCAGTAAGGCAAATCAATATGACTCACCAGTATTCTCATCAATTATACTAACCTAACTAGAACACCGACGCAACGTGTGTGGCAAGGCTGCTAGAATCCGGCGCAATCATTGCTGGAAAGTCCGTGTGCGAGAATATGTGTCATTCCGCTACGAGCAGCTCTTCCTCAACTGGGCATGTACATAACCCCTATGCCAAAGGCTACAGCAGCGGGGGAAGCTCAAGTGGCTCAGGGGCACTCGTAGCCAACGGAGACGTGGATATGGCTCTTGGCGCTGACCAAGGCGGTTCAATACGTGTCCCTGCCGGATGGTGCGGTCTCTATGGGCTGAAGCCGACCTTTGGACTTGTGCCCTACACCGGTTGCGGCTCAAATGAGCCTACCAATGACCATGTCGGCCCCATGACACGAACACTTCTCGACAACGCGTTGATGCTCCAGGTCATTGCTGGCAACGACAACATTGACGACAGGTCGTTCGCAGCACCGAATCCAGACAACGTTCCCAAGTACTATGATAACTTGACGAAGCTGGAAACCCCGAAAGATCTGTCCGGTGTCAAGATCGGGATCTTGATAGAAGGTATGAACCAGCCGTCAGTGGAACCTCGCGTCAAGGCATGTGTCGAGGCTGCGATCCAAGGTTTTAAAAATCTTGGGGCGACCGTAGATGAAATTTCAATTCCCTTTCACTCCAAGGGAGCAGCCGTTTGGACTGCTATCAGCAAGAGTGGAGGTTACCTGGCGAAGAGAAATCTTGCATTCGGCAGGAGAGGCCACATCATGACCGACTTGGCGGACAAGTTTCAGGACCTTACGCAGAAACAGTGGGATAACGCATACGTTTCGTCAAAGAACATCTATCTCAACGGGGTCTACGCGCAAGCAGCGTTCCCAGGGTTGCTTGGAAAGGCGACGAATCTCAGCAGAAAGCTACGAGACGACTATGACAATGCTCTGCGAGAGTTTGATATTTTGGTGACGCCGAACTTACCCTACGTTGCCAATTTCCATACTCCCTATGACGCGTCCCCGCTCGAGAAGATTGGAAAGCAAGTCGGACTCACTGCTAACACCGCCCCTTTCAATCAATCAGGCCATCCGGTCCTCGCTATGCCGATTGGTATGCTTCCGATTGAGGAAGGTCCTCTGAAAGGTTCGGGAACAAAACTGCCGGTGAGCATGCAAGTCATTGGCAAGTGGTGGCATGAAGAAGATGTTTACCGCGTCGCATACGCCTGGAGCTTAGAGTACGATTGGAAGACTAGATGAATGCATTCGGCGATCGATAATGACGCCGTAGACTCTAGAAGGGTGTATGTACTCGCGAGACTTAGCAGGGGGGACTGCACATGCAGTCGTTAGAGGTTTTAAAGCCAATGCAGTCAGGCAAGCTTAAAACCATGGTCTGCAAATTTGCAAAGAAGGTGGCGATTGAATACATTTAAGAGGATTGGCTGATCGAAAACAAAAATTTAGGCCTGTCAGACAATTGCTTGACTCAGACTTGAAGTGTTAGTTCGGGTCTCATTGCTCCGAAAATCGGAGCTACTGTAGTGCTACTCCTCTAGCGGGCGCAACCACGATGTAGCGGTAATACGATGGAATCCCTTACTGCAAATGATCGAGCTGGTGGTCATTCACTTCAGAGACAGGCGGTGTGCAATGCTACTGCAACACTACGTTGTGCGACGTTCCGGCTGTAGACGGACCCGTGTCCGGCCCTCGAACGGCTCTCGGAGGCCTAAAAGCCGGCCGACCTCGGGGGCTGCGATTTCGGCCTTCTTGCCCTGCGCCGGTTCATCGGCGCCGACAGGAGGGGCCAGAAATGCCAGGTGAACCCCCACGCCCCGGCTCCGGCTCATTTCCGTATTTTCCAAGATGGCCCAGACTTTTCCAACCTGGAGAATGATGTTAGATAAGACACTTACGGCCTTGGTGGAGCTCCAGGTCGTCGCCCTTGTCCAATATCAAAGCCTGATTCCAACCCGAAGTGGAGGTGACAGACGTAAAAGGTTGCAGATATTCCCCGCTGCGGAGACGCTCCGCTAGCACATAGGTCCAAAGACCGGGGCCCAATGAAACATTTTTTGCTGATTTTGGGGGCAGTTTTCTCACAAAGACCATGGATGATGTCTTTGAAGGCGTTTCGGCGGTGATAGTCCCAGTGCCCGACTTCGGAATCATGATCCCGAGGTGGGTAAGTATGCAGCCGAGAATTTTCTGACGTTTTTCTGGTGTGGTCTTTGATGCTTTATATACAGCGCTTTGCCCCCCTCAGAAAACGGAACAATTCAGGACTGGTTATTCACGATTTTGGTGGACACATTTCCTTGGCAATCCCTGTCACTCTGTCTTGTCAACTCTTCGCTCTCATCAGCTGCCTAGTTGAACTTCAAGTTGTCAATACAGCTGCCCCACTACTGTTGCTTCTATTCCATGTTCGAATCATCACCGTCATCATGTCCATCATGTCTGAACACACATTGTCAGAGGTCCCCACGAGGAAGGACGAATTACCTCCCGACCTGCTTGCGTTGAGAACCTCCAACGCTGAGAAGGGTGTGAACATTATTGCTCAAACGCCCAGCCGACCATACTCGTACCGTGAAGATGAGACAGTCTACGATCGCTTTACACCCGGTCGTAAGCGAATTATCACAGCCATCGTGTCCTTCGCTGGTTTGGGCATTAACCTAGCTTCACTGCTCGTGCTCTCAGCGTTGCCGGAGGTAGCAGCGGCTTTCAACACAACTGGAACAGTCATCAATTTTACCAATGCTCTTTTCCTATTAATGATGGGCATCGGTGTTCTCTTCTGGGGCCCATTAAGTCAGGTCTACGGTAGAAAATGGGTAAGCAAAACCACCTTTGTACATCCCACCGTCATGTATCATAGTTGCAGTCAGCTCTCAACCAGCCAATTTGGCATATATCTCGCCCTACACTTGAACTAAATGTCCTAGATCTTCGTCATATCGACAGTGTTGTTCTGCACGTTTTCACTGGCTACAGCGGTTTCCCCCAATCTGCCAGCTTTCTTCATCTTCCGATCAATCACTGCATTTGCCGGAACCTCTTTCCTTATCGTTGGGTCTGCCTGTCTCAGTGACATTTATCGTCCGACTGAACGTGGCACGGCATTGGGTTGGTTTCTTGGAGGCACCCTGTGAGTCTAGGCCCCTTCACACTCCGTTTTCTGGTCGACCGAACATTCGTGGCTGATACATGTACTCTTCATAAGTATCGGACCTGCTCTTGGTCCTTTCATCGGAGGTGTCATCGTTACGTACTCAACCTGGAAATCTCTTTTCTGGTTCCAGGGCGCTCTCGGTGGCGCTGCTATGGTCCTGGCAGTCGCCTTCCTCCCGGAAACAAGTCACGGAAAGTGGTCTGAAGAATTGGAGGGAATGACAACCAAAGAGAAGATTAGCCAGATCTGGGAGTGGGCGAATCCGTTTCGAGTCATCAGTCTATTTCGGTACCCCAAGATCCTCATCGTCGTGAGTTCTCCTCGCCCTTTCGTCATCAACAAGCCTTGAGGTGTTCACCAGACCGATTACGGTAAAACAACGGCCGTCCCAGTGGATGTGTAGCTACAGCCTACGGCGGTAAGGCCCTTCACCAATGTGTATCATCAGCTGACTATGCACCCAGGGTGTTGCGGCATCGTCTGTGCTGTGGAATATGCAGGTTCTCTTGACACCAGTTCGCTACGTTATCAACCCGAGATTCCACCTTACCTCCCCTCTGCAGTCAGGATTCTTCTTCTTGGCACCTGGAGCAGGATATCTCGTTGGTACCTTTTTTGGCGGCCGATATGCCGATTACACCGTGAAGAAGTGGATTGCTAAGAGAGGACGGCGTATTCCGGAAGACCGTCTACGAAGTGCCTTTATCGCGCTAGGGGTTGTCATCCCGGCGACCACCATCATCTATGGATGGGCAATCGACAAGGCTAAGGGCGGAATCCCACTCCCCGTCATCTGCATGTTCTTGCAAGGCGTTGCGCAGATGGTCTGCTTCCCGTGTCTTAACAGTTACTGTTTAGATGTCTTCAGAGAGAGGGCAGCTGAAGTCATGGGTAAGCATGCTCAACCTCCTCTCCTCGGCCTAGTGCCAGATAAGCTGACAGTATTTTGCTAGCTGGCAACTACTTCATCAGGTACACTTTTGCTGCCATCGGTACGGCAGTGGTACTTCCAGGTATTCAGGGCATTGGTGTGGGTTGGTTCTCCACAGTGAGTGCTCTCTTCGTTGCGATTTCAAGTGCTGCTGTGTGTGGTATCGTCATCTTTGGTACGAGACAGAAGAACAGGGAGGAAAAGTCGGAACGCGCCTAAGCACATGGAATTGCTGGAGTTTCAATGGGTAACATCAATCAAGCTAAGTCTTCAGTTTCTGTTTCGTCGTTCATCTAGCAAACATTCCCGTAGCTTATACTTTAAATTCCAATATCATTGAGATTCCTTCATCACTGAATGTTTGAGAATCTGAAAATGTAGACTGAGTCATGATAAAGGTAGGTCAATCGACGTGCGAAAATATCTTTAGCGCCTGGGATTTCTGCTCTGAAACATCAAGTGGAAAAGACTCGGAAGAACTTCCACCTAGATACGTCACTTTCGAGAATTGTCCAGAACATCTGGTTCTGTTGATGTGATGGAAACAAGTCGAGTGCAGATTTCGGTCATGACCGGTGTCGTGCCAAGGGCGCAGGCCAGATGGAGACTTTTGAGCAGATGCAACCAATCAGTTTGCATCTTGACCTGTGGCTTGACAATAAGGCGCCCTAACAAAGGCGAGACTTTCCTCTAATAGCCGCACAGAGACAACAGCCGACGCGGCTCAACGCGCCCTGTCAGTGGGAATTTAGCGTTTTTAGCGACGTGTCTTCCAGAAGCATCGATTTTGGGAAAGTCTTCTGGCTAGGGTCAAATGAAGATGATAGCAGGTCTGCGATATCTTGGAACCGTACAAAAGGGCATTAGAACCAGATCGCTGGGCTTGAGAAGTAATCCGAACCATCCGATCAGATCTGCCATCCTTGTGGGCCATCAATTGCACCAAAACAGCACGCCACGTAACGCCACGCATATCCCGATTCACTACAATTTATTCTCAACCTTGACTACATCGACCATGACAAAGTCCTCCAAGGTCCAAGAAGGCGTTCGCGTGACGGCCACGCTCAGGCCAGCAACTCTTGATGACGCCACAGCAATATCAGAGCTCGCCACCCATGTCTTCACGGTCACATTCGGCCATTCAGTCGAGCCGCATGAGCTCCAAGCGTTCCTAGAGGAGTCCTACAGCCTCGAAGCCATCACAAAAGATCTCGACGACTCAAACAAAGACACACTACTCGCGGTTGATCCTACTGGAGACATCCTGGGTTTCGCCATGCTCACCCGGGGCTCCTCAGAGCCATGTATCTCACATCTTGACGGTACTGTTGAGCTGCAGAGAATTTACATGTATCCAAAGGCACAAGGCACGGGCGCTGCAAAGCTTCTGGCAGACAGGTTAGAAGACATGGCTAGGGAACAAGGGTTTAAGCACATGTGGTTGGGCGTCTGGGAAGAGAATCTTCGGGCGCAAAAGGCGTATGGGAAATGGGGATATGAGGAATGTGGCACCCATGACTTTGCCATTGGATCAGTGATCCAAACTGATAACATTATGGTGAAGAAACTCTGAATGGCCCTGTTACGAACACAATAGAAGTTTGGAGTATATATATATTTCAGGTTAGATTTGATTGCGCTGGGGACACTATTTCAGGTGTTACACCCTTAGACGTTCTAGTAGACTCTATACTTCATTTAAGTACTCATAACTTCATCGACTTTCCTCATGCAGCAATGGTGCGTCCTCTCCGAGTATCATCGAGTAGGTCTTTTGTCAATGTTATGCAACTCTAGCGGGAATCTCAGGCGGCAGCTTGCCCCATTGCAACTCTCACGAGGACACTGGTGGCCAAATACGCAATTTGGATCGGTGCAGCTGAGACCTGTATGGCAGTGAGACTGACGAGCGACAGCCCAGAGAACTTGCAACTCTTTCGGGCTCAGCCTGCCTTTGTGCTCGTGCGAACACTTCCCATAAGCTTCCCTATAGGGACATCTACCCAAAAGATGAAGACTGTTGCACAACTTGCGGTTCTTCATCAGAATGAACTCCTGGTGGGTAAAATCGAGTGGTGGATCAATTCGCTGCCCGGCCTTGTTCCGAAGCACCTGCCCTAAAGGAGGCATCCTGGAGTCGACCATGGCTTGTTGACGTACTGGCAGGTCTCCAGCGAGAACCGATGGAGCTCTGGCAGCGGCTGACGCATAGTTGGGCGACGGAGTCAATGGTGGTGTGATGTTATATGAAACCTTACGCTTGATGTTGTTGAACAGTTTCTGACGCCTGAAAACCCTGTTGAAAGAAGCGACGCGGAACTGGTCTTTAATCTCGGCTAGCTCCTGCGCAAATGGAGGACCCTCGAGAAGGACGACCTTCTTGCGAATCTCATCGTTGTCGAGGTACGATCCCAACACGCGAGCGTAACCGCTATCTGCCGAACCACCAAACAAAACATGTCGACAGTGAACATCGGACACACTAGACTCAAAATTTGCTGAGAGATCTTAGTCGTCGCCCTTTGGATGCTTTTGTAAGTTCACTCACCCTTCAACTTTTCATCCGTACACTCCTTGCCATTACCCGCGTCAACAAAGTCGCACATTGCGTTCCACATGTTGAAGCCTCGGACGAAATCATCCAAAACGCTCGGATCAGGAATAATGCCCATTTCGGTGTAAGTCTTGGCCAGACCCTTCAAGTTGGCGTAAACGCGGACGGCAAGTTGCAAGTGATGCGGAAGGCAGGGGTCAATGGCCTTTAGCTCATCAAAAACAGCGAGACGTAAAAGGCTTGCAGCTTTCTTGCCTCCCTCGAGTCCTTGCTCAATAAGATCATCCAGAAACTGATTGTTCGCCAAGTCATCAGAAAACTGAGATATTGGTAGATGGCAAGCAAGAAGTTTGAACAGTTCTGACTTACTGGCATACAGTCGCCGTCAACGAGGACCATTGCAAAACAGTGTTTGTCCTAGCTGGGTCAGTGCCTTTCTGGCTGGTAAAGCGGGTTGTACAACATGCTTTCTCGTTTTGCAACTTTTCGATCTGATATTTGATCCTGTCATCGGTATCGAAAAGAGACCGTACCAGCATCCTTTTTTCCTTTAGCTCCATCTTAACCTCGGAGAGCTTGTCGGAAAGCTCTGCAATGTGAGAGAACAAATCCTGAGTGGGCCGGTCAGTCAGGTACTTGGCAAATCATGCATAAACCAGCCAGAGAGTACGAAAATACCTCAATGAGGGAAGCCTTGTGGTCATCCTGAATTTTGCACATTTGCCATCTTTCTTCCAGCGATAGCGGTCCTTGGCTGTCTGCGTTTGACATGTTGAACACTCGCCGATTTCTGTGAGACGTGATCGGGAGAAACTTGTACATGACCTCAAGTTCAATCAATAGCCCTTGGAGTGCCAACTGCCTCTATTTAAGTAAAGCTGTTCACACGGTGAAGTCACGCAGCCTTAAAGGCTTCAAGGCGTACGGGTTGGTTGCACTGCATTGCCATCAGCGAATCAAAGAGGCCGATTCTGTGGCACATGGTTTGGCGCCAGGCCTCCTCCAACAGCACCGCCGCTTTTCAAGATATTGGGGCTGGCCGCATATTGGTTGGCCTGCTGCGGCGAGTGGTTGGCCAGATTTGACGTGGTGAATCTGCCTTGTGTTGGCGCGGACTTGCACTTTAAGTCTTCAGAGAAGCAAACTGAATGACCAACTGCATAATCAAAGCGGAACCTATCGTTCTTCTCAGGAAAGGCCGTGTTTCAGAAGGGGATCACGACAACGCCTGCACCGCTCGATATCGATGTACAGCTTATGAGTTATATCAACGATAACATCATTTAGAACAAATTACAACAAGCAGTAATTATTTGGTCACATTGATTACAAAGGCTTATTCAATTATTCTCATTATTAAATTTCAAGCAGGACAACTCCACTGGACTCCAATACCATGCTAGGCAAAACCCAACTACTCAAAACGCCAGCTAAAGTTCCCTTTCCGAGTTCCAGATTTTGATTCGCGTAAATTCCACCCATTCATGCCGTATTACGAAAACCACGAAGAGCCACGGTCAGCAACTTTCCTTCTTTTGAACCTTTCGCAAATCCGCTGTCCTGATGAGAGAACTACGACTGGACAGCTTGAGGCGTTCTGCTAAAGCTGAATGAACGCCAAGAAGACCGCTGAGCTGGTTTGTTATGAGTCACCAAGCTAGCCAAGAACGCCGGCGAAATCTCAGAGGCGGATACGGAAATTTCTGCCCTTTTTTTCTTCTTGTCTTGCTTTTTCGATTTTGTTTGCTTTTCAACCTTCGAAATTTCTGTCGGCCTACGGCCACTCAAGCAGGCGTCAACTACAGACCTCTCCGGAAGGACTTCGGCCCCGGCCATTTCCCGCGTAGGCCATGGGAACGTCGCGGCCATCTCCTGAATGGTAACGACATCCATCTTCTCGAGGATCTCCCGAAGCTGCGGTTCGAGGTTGTTAACCTGCTCAAAAGCCCAGTCGGCACGCCTTTGAATGCGGACACCATCACGACGCATCTGACCGACTAGCCACTCCATCGCCACGTGATGCGGGATAAGTCGAGCGTTGCGCATCAGCCAGGCCATCATATCAGGATCGCCGGTCTGCTTGACGATGGGCAAGCTGCGACCGCCGTGCTCCCGCTCTTGGAGCTTTTGCAGAAAGTCGTGATACATCCCCAGCGAAGAGGTCTGAAGACCAACGAATTGGCCGTGGAAGAGAGCACGAGCAACTTCATCGGCCCAAGCAATGCCTGCCTTCATGCCGGAGTTCGCACCTCTCCCAGGCCAGAAGTGCACCGTCATTGCCGCATCCCCAGCCAAGGCAACCAGACCGTGGGGTCGGCGCAGGGCTGTAGAGTCGCACTGCGGAACCTGCTCGACAGCTTTGTTGATCCTGCGTACAACAATGGGGATGCGAACAATATTTTTCAATTCGCACTGCTTGAAACCGTAAAGCTCCAGACCATCAAGTATCGCCTTCCACAACGGGCTGTCAGGTTGCTGAGACGGTGCAAAGACCTGGTTCTCCTCAAAGCCATGAGGCAGGCAGTCGCCGACCTTCAAGCAACTTGGTCGCCCGAATGTGCAAGGATGGCCATCTACGGAGACCATTTGGTGCCATTCAGTCTCGGTCAACTGCATGTTGAGATATCCTGTGCCATCGAAGTCGCTGGCATTGAGGAGGTAGCGAGTTTGGCCCATGGTGAGGAAGATGTTGATGGGCTGTGAGAAAGGAAGACCACGAGGCCGATCAAAAGCAAGCCCTAGGGCATAGCTCTTTCCAACCTCCTCTTCTTGCCCCGGAAAGTAAGCACCGCGAAGCCAAGAACCAGCGCCGTCAGCACCAAGCATTAGGTGAAAGTCGCCGTACTCCGAAAGATTGTCCTGTCTGACCTGTGAGGCATGTAGGAAGATGAGATCGCGGAACTGGCTGTCTTGTGCCCGTCGCAAGAGACCGTCTTCGAGCTTGCGGATCTGGAGATTGCTGGAACCAGGCCAAACACGCTCTGGATTTCCGCCAAAGACAGCTTGTCTCGTTCTATCGCTCATCAAGTCTGTCACGGTGTCTTGGAGCGTGACTACCTGGTCGCGACGACGGGCCCCTGGTGGGTAACTGACGAAAGAGCTACCCGGCTGCTGAATCCATCTGCCTTCGTAAAGATGGACCTCCACTCTGGCCCCAGCCTTCTCGGCCAGAGCAATCGCAGAAGCCAGGCCTGTGGGACCTCCACCAATGATCATGACTTTCAAAGGGGCTGCTGGGTATTGATAGACAACCGGGTCTTGAGGGAGCTGAGGTAGGTTACGAGCTACCGATGGGTCAAAAAAGAAATCGCGAACTGCATTCGTCTTGGTAGAAGTAAGAGCTTGGCTCTTGATGAGCACGAAACGCATCCACTGCAAAAGGGAGGTTGTGTTGAAGGTCGAGTGGCGGTTGCCAAAGACAATTCGCTGGACTGAAGCTGCAAGAGAGACGACATCTCGATGCCTGGGATTTGCTGCGATGGATCGGAGCTCGCTGTTGATAGAAGCGTCATCTCCACGGTAGAAGAACAGAAAAGCTTGCGCGCGCTCAAAGTTGGTTTGGCCCGCTGCTTCCCAAGCCGCTTCCCAAGAGCGCGGAAATTGAATGTTATCAATCTCAGGTGATAGATTAGGAAAAGGAGTACGGCTGTCAAGCTTAGAGCTGGGCATGGCCGGGGGAGAGCCTGAGCGGCTGCGAATAGACGTGAGCATGGGCATTGTGAATGATTAGAATAAGGAAATGAGATAGTAATAATTTATGCGGAGTATAAGGGTTGAAAGAAATGACTTTGGGGACTGCAAGGAGAAAAGGGAAAGGAATATGATAAAACCAGAGAACAGAATAAAAGAAATATTTGAGATGTGGTATATGATGATTAGTATTGCGAATTCATCTTTGGTGTCGAGAAGCAACTAGTCTTAATATATACTGACTGAGACCGAATTCCGATGCTTTGAGAACAGACAGATAGTCACGATCTCCAGACGAGCCCTAAGCTGCATCGCGCCCGACGTAGGGG